TTTCCCTTGGGACTGCGCTATTGTGCCAGCTCCCCAGGGTCCATCCTCCACTTCCCAGGCACCACCGGTTACACGCTCTCCCGTCCGTGTTCCCTCCCTTCTCTCCGTTTCAACACTTGACACTCCAGTCATTTCACATCCAGCCCCACCAGACTGGGACGGCTCGAGGGCGAGGATGGGGCCCAACCCACCGGTGCTGAAATCAACGGGAACAATGGAGTCTGGAGACCACGAGAGAACCTGAGTGTGCGTCCATCCAGAATGCTTCTATTAGAGCGTAATTTATTTTTGAAAAGGCAATATATTTACACGGAGCAAAATCCAAAAGGGTATTCGGGGAGAAGCCCGCCCCCTCCCCAGCTTCGCACCCCAGGTCCTGGATTCCCCTAGGAACCGTGTTACTCTCCCCTTGTGGATCGCTCCACGTGCGTTCAAGCCTTGCCCTTGTCCCTTTGGCGCACTCTGTGTTACGCACCGAGCTCCTTTCGCTGGAGCTTAAAGTCTCAAAATAGGTTTTTCTCCGGGTTCCCTTTCTCGCGGTTCGAAGCTGCGGGACCTCAGCGCCGGCACGCACTGCGGACGCGACCGCCGCGGGCCCCGCTCCCCCTGGCGGCCGCGCCCCGCACTGCAGCGGTAGCGCGCCCGCCCCGGCCCGGCCGGGGGAGGGGTCGCGGCGGCGGCGGCGGCGGCGTCAGCGGCGGCCCGGGCGGTGGGAGCCGAGGCGCCGGAGCAAGATGGCGGTGCGAGTGCTGCGCGCCGGCGGAGCGGCCTCGGCCGGCAGCTTTCTGCGGCGGGCCGGCCCCTGCAGCCTCCAGCCCGGGCTCTGGTGAGCAGCGCCGCCCTTTCCGGGAGCGGCCGGGGAGGGGCCGCCGCGGGGCGGAGGGCACGGGTCCCCGGCACGAGTCTACGCCCCGGCCCGGCCGCGCTCTCACTGGGTAGGGCCTCCCGGACTGCGGGGCGGCGGGACCGAGGCCTCGGTCGGCGCGGCTGGGCGAGTCGGAGACTCGGCGAGGTCGGAGTGCCTGCCTGCCTGCCGGGCCGGCCGGGCTCAAGGTCACGGTGGGAACGACGCTCGGCGCCGAAGCCACGTCCGCGCGCCGAGCCTGCCCGGCCTACAGGACCCTGACCCGGCGCGACCCGGAGCAGTGGCAGGGCGGCGGGCGCATGCCTGAGGCCGCAGGCCCTGAAGTTGCGGCCGCCTGAGAACACTGCTCGCCCGCGCAAAGCCTCAGTGCTTGATTCCGCAAATGGCAGTAGAGATAACCCTCACCTCCTGGGTTGTTGGGAGGAAGAAATAAAATACCGCAGCGTCCCCGGTGAGCCCTCAAGTGGAGGTCGGAGAAGTAGTGAAGAGGTGTCAGCCCTAAGAACAGTCGTTGACTTGCATTTAAAAGTAGATAGCGAATCAAAAAGTATGTACAGTTATCAGCACTAAGGGGACGTTGGCTTCGTGTTTAAACTCTTTTTCTAACCTCATTGGATTAAATATTTGGTTTTCAAAATCCATCCCTGAGATAGCCATGTCCCATTTTCCAAATCGAAAAACCAAATCCCATACTAACTTACACGTCGATTTGCTTCTTTGGTTTCTTTACGTTGGGTAACTTAAATTTTCTCTTTCTGTTTGTGTTTAATTAAATAGTGAGCCTATAGAAAATGCAGTTGGCACTTAAAATTGGAAGCGGGAGGGAGCTACCTGTTAAACTAATACGGGCCAGCTTTATACTGATACGGCTTATTTAATGTAATCCTAGTAGCACTCTTAAGAAGTAAGTAATAGGATGTGCATTTTAGAGATGAGAAGGAACCTAAAGGGCTTGAGACACGTGGCTGGAAAAGGCATTTGAACCCAAGTTTGTGAGGCTTGAGGCCCAGTGCCCTTCCTTGGACTCATGCTCAACTTGTGTTTCAAAATTTGATATTTATGTTTCCAAGT